CCGGAAACCCGAAACCCCAAACCCCAAGCTCTAAACTGGCCCTAAACCTTAAACTCTCAACCCTCAGCCCGAAACCCAACCCCCAAACCCCAAGCCTGATCCCTAAACCGTAGCCCCAGGCTCCAAGTACTCAAGCAATATGATTCTGCTCACCTGGGCTTCGTTTTTGCCACTGTTGGGGATTGCGCATGTATTGTTGGTTCAATACTCGGACTCACCGTGGAAGGTAAGACGTTCAAAACTTCTGGAATGGTTACTATGCCCAAGCCTGACTCCAGATGTCTGCGTAAAGCCTACACTAGTTATGGGTTCTTGCTCAGGCTGACATGAACAGCATATTTAGCAAAACACATTGCTTACAGATATCCCTGCTCCAGTGAGCCTAACCCATAAACCCAAACTACTGTAGTGATCTAAGCTAACTTCGTTAACAAGAACCCAGACACCCCCTGCGCGCTCTCTCCAGAGCTCTGAACTGAGGCGATGTCGCATCCTGCCTGACGGTTTCTGACCTTCCAGAGATTTAGGGCTTTAGGGTTTAGGGTTTAGGGTTCAGGGGTTTAGGCTTAGGGGTTTAGGGTTCAGGGTTTAGGGGCTTAGGGTTTAGGGTTAGCAGCTGAATGAGCAGACTTTACATGCTGGGGATAATATGATACAACTTTTAAGGCTTCTGAACTCAGCAGCTAAGGAAGCCCTTCGAAGGTTTAGGGTGTAGCGTTATTCAGGCAGAGAATAGATTGTATCTTAGTTCTGCGCTACTTGGAGGATCATGGGACTTAGTAAGAAAGGTTAGAAGTCCCCTGATTGGGGTTATAAGTATAGTTACTCTAGTTAGAACCCTACTTACTAAGTCCCAAACCCTACTTACTAAGTCCCATGATCCTTTAAGTACGACAAGCTTCTTTCAACTGGGGCCTGTCTTCGATGGATCTAGGCATGGCCTGGGGCTTACCCATAGGCCCCATAGTAGTTCCTTTTTTGGGGTTACCTTATAGGATTCTATATATGAACCCCAAAAAAGGAACTACTTTAGGGCCTATGGGTAAGCTTAAACCACTATAGTAGTACTATCCCTGGTGTTCGGCCTTCTGAGTAAACCATCGTAAAGCCACCATAAACCCTAAAGCCCCAGCCCTAAACCGTGGTCAAGTTGTAGGTACCGCGGCCATGGACTGCTGCATCACTTGAAGGATCATGGGACTTAAGTAAAGTTTCAGGTACCCTAAACCCTAAACCCTCAACCTAAGTTACTATGTCCCATGATCCTTTCAGCAGGAATGCACAAAAGGGCCACGACTTCCGACCTCCCAAGCTTTCAGAGATTGAGGATGTAGGGTTGAGGGTTTAGGGTTGAGGGTCAGCATGTAGTACCCAAGCCTGAAGAATTGCCAATATGATTCCTTAGGGCTCCTTACTTCACTCTCAAGCCCTATTCTAATTATGAGTCCCGTATGGATTCGGCCTTGCATGCTATCTGCATAAGCACAATCTACCCCGCAACCCTATTCTACAGTACGTTTTTAAGCCCCATATTGGCTAGCCGCCGAAAAGTGTAGGCGATGCTCAAACTTTTGGCAAGGCAAAGCCGCATGTCTACACATATCTTCGCATATTATATTTGCACTGTTATATGCATGCACATCCATAAGCATGCAAGCCAAAGTAAGTACACAACAGTGCGTGTATGTACGTGTGTGTATATATATACACACATACACATGTATGTGT